TAAATTCCTTTAAAATTATACCAGTCATAAAATTATTTACATTGATATTATGGTCCTTAAGAGTTTGTGCTAATACTACTATTGTTATTATTATTATTATTATTATCATCATCATCATTGGCTATTGATTTAACTTTATATTATTAGGTATGAGGAGTACTGAAATTCTGTGACATATCTATTTTTCTAGGACACATTATGAGGAAAGGGGACTTGTAAAATTCAATATACAGAATGTATTGTGGGGAAGAAGGGTACTGGGAAACAGTGAACAACTTATCTAAGCAGTTAGTTGTCAGAACAGGGACATGGAGTAACAGTAAAGATTCAAACATTACTTAGGAGTACAAGAGAAAGGAACATGTGAAGAGTCATTATATCTAACATCCTGAAAGGACACAATACATAGAAAATGATTATAACTTAGTATTCTGTTCATGATTCCAGTTGATTTTAGAAATACTGTCATTTGGATGATTTTTATTCTTCCTCAGATTTTTTCCCAATTCTTACAATGGTTTTGCAAAGTTCTTTGGGATGGTTCCAGATACAGCAATAATAATGGTAACTACAGTCACCTTCAGATTTGATAACGTTTTAGTTCTCCTGCAAGTCCAAGATATTTTTTCCAGTTTTTAACTTTCAGTAAAAACAAAATCTTTCTTCCCTGGATTAAGTATGTTCTTGTCATTTATCTTGGATTGGATGATCCATTTACATTTCAAGGACTCTTAAAACTTTACATTTATTCTTTAGAACTGCTTCTGATCAATCCATATACCATTCACTTGCATGGGCAAATCCTAGTTGTTTGCACATTTCTCAATGGATTCCTAATCCTACCCACTCATAAGCATTCACTTATTACATGATTGACAGTCTCATCTCACTCTCATTATATTTGACATTTACTATTCTGCTGTGTCATGTCTTAGATGTAATATAGTGTTCTTAAAGAATTAACAGAGGTTCAGTTTTTTCTTGTCATATGCCATCATAACTAAGTCTCCATCATCTGCATTTCTTTGGGTCTGTCTCTTGAAATGCCCACAGAGTTGTTTGTCTTTTCATTTTTGACTTCTCAGTTTGTAATTTTCCCATCCACATTTGTCCTCTTATCTCCTCTTATTCTACTGCTTGGCTGTCATGATACATCTTTTGTGACTCTACCTTGTAGATCTGAGGATAGCTAGAACTTTGAAAGTGACACTAGCACAGAGGTAGAGGCCCAGACTGCACAGGAACTAGGACCCTAGCTAAAGACCATAATTGATAGTGAATAGTTTTTGTTCAGTAGTACAAGAAAATCTAATTGCTAATAAAAATAGTTACACTAATTTCCTTGAGAGCAAAGTCAACACAATTTCAATAATCAAAACTCTTTTTTTTCTTTTTTTACAGTGTATCAACTTCTTATTATTATTCTTCTTCTTCCTATCATCATCATCATCATCATCATCATCATCATCATCACCGACACCTCCTCCTCCTCCTCCATCCATCCATCCATCCATCCATCCATCCATCCATCCATCCCCATATTCAGACTATATGTCTGGACATAATCACTGGAGATTGAGTAAGAGAAAGTCTTATCAAATCTCAATCACCTTCTCCAGCACAGCCATGTTTCAATTCTTTCTCAAAGACGAAATTCATCCTATCTAAATTTGGTTATTTTTTAGCATAGTTCTAAGTATGTCAAGGTTATGGAAACACATCTAAACTTTATACTGAACAAATTTCTTAATTCCAGGATAAGGATCTGCTATTGTTCATTCATCTTCAACCTGTGATCCATTGACACAGCAATATACATCATCTCACATGTCTTCTTTTTACAGTTTCTAATTATCAGATCCAGTTTTGTTGTTTAGATGTCAAAATCATACATGACCTCAGATAGATACTGTATGTTTATATGGCCAAATCAAAGACATTGAATAATTCACATTGTGGATTAGGTTGATAGATTTTAACCATTGTTGGATTAATTAATGATGAAATCTATCTTTTTTAATATAATTGATATATAGGTAAACATTAGTCAGGTTTCTACTTGTCTATAGGTAAATATAGGCTATATTTATACCTGAATCTATAGGTAAATATTGACTGTTTATACTTGAGTCTATAAGCATTTACTTGATAGGTGAGCATTTGGGGAAGTTTTTTTTCTCTTCAGGGAAAGCAGTTGGTTTATTCTAAACCCTGCCAGTAGAGTAGCATATTATATTGTGCTACTATTGTTATTTATATTATTATTCTACTTGCTTGTATGTACATCCATTATTTTTTAGAAAACTTAGGATCAGAATATAATATCTAATTTATGCTTTTTAACTAAGAAAACTACATAATAATATTGAACTGAAAGGAAGTTAATCAATGTCAAGAATGGTCAGTATAACAGAAATCATAATGAATCACCAAAGTTAAGCACTGTTGAGCTTGATCAGTACTGAGATGGGTGACTGCTTGGGAATACCAGGTGCTGTAAACGTGGATATGCAGGTGGTATAATGGATAACAGCTCAGAATGAGAAATTGGAAAGCTGAGTTTGAATTCCAATTGAATTTGTTATATTAACTTACTTGCTTGCAAGTACTCTTGGAAAAGGTATAATTTCATCTCTTCTCCCTCCAGCTATGGGTAAATAAGAAAACAGACTAGACCTTTGGTTGGCAAACAATCTAGGAGAAGGAAAACTCTGAGTTCAAACCAATCTGGTGAGGATTGGCAAAGAGTGGATGAGTTTCTTATAGGAGTCAACAGCTAGGAAATTGAGAACTTCTATTCAAAAAAGCCTGTTATTTTAGCATCATCTGACATGTGGTATACAGTGCACCAATACATGACATTGTGTTATGATAGAGAAAGTGAAGTGTACATTGCAGGTCACAGGCAATTAACCACTTTCAACAATACCCTTGTGCAGGTTCAATAAAAACTTAGAATTTACTGAACCCTCATCCAGTGTTTACAATGGGAGAATCCATCCATATATAGGAGGAATAGATAAACAAGAGAAAGGTTAACTTGCTGGAAGGATATAAAGAGATGATGAGTAAAAGATTGAAAGGTAAGCAGGGATGGAAATGAACAGAATTAAAATTCTTCATGGAGAGCTAAAGAAAAAGAAAGATAAACATGAGGAAACATCAGAAAATATTTATGCATTCCTCATCTTTTTCACATATCATATTAATCCTTGTTTGTGTAGCATTTACATAAAATCATGGTTGGGCAACAATGATTGGAAGATATCAGGGAAAAAAAGAGAAGATACAGACAATAGGTAAAAGAAAAGCAGAAGCATGAGATAATGAATAATTTTACTTGTCAACATCCATAGAATTGAGAACCATAAAGAATTTTTGATGCTTGATACAAACTTTTGTAGTCATCAACATCAACACAGATTTAGTTTCCTTTTACAATGACTTTTCATTACTGACCCTACCATTTGAACCCAGAGGTCAAGATTATATACACCAAAATAACAGAAATGATTTCGGTCATTCTTTTAAATCTTTGCCACAACCACATCAGGAAATGCTGTTGTGATTTCAGTAACAGGTGAACCTTTATGAAGCTCAGAATTCTTGTCTGACACTCAAGATGAACTACATGACTTGGTTCCAGCTTTCCTACTTTTCATCCATAGCTTTCGAGAGAAGGCATGAATGAGAAGTGAATGTAAACTGTCCCTGTTGGAAATTGAACATGGTTCAACAACTCCATTACCTAGACTAACTGTTACACTAACTACAACATTTCAGTTTAAATGATAGTTTATCAACCATTTGTAGGTTATTTAAAGCCAAAACATATTTTGGATTGTATGAATAATTCTTTCTTTGTGAGTGAATATTGCATTAAAAATTTTAGGGAGATAACAATGATTTTTTTTCTCTCGTTAAAAGTCCTACTATTTAACCCATAGTTGGGAGGAGAGGAGATGGCTTCATACATTTCCCAAGGGTATTTACATGTAAGTGAATGTAATGAACTTGACTGAAATTTGAACACATTTTTCTGATTTCCAAAGAAAATATACAACAAAATAAATAAAAGATTAAATTAAATAAGTGAAGTTATAGATAAAAAATAAATAAATCAAAAACAAAATGAAAAAGATATAAATAAGTAAAAGTCAGGGTGATAAATAATCTAAAACATTAACCTAAAACAAAAAAAACTGGGAAGAGCATGTTCCTCCTTCTGTACTACTCAGAAGTATCCATTGACCTAATTATATATATATATATATATATATATATATATATATATATATATATATATATAACCCTTGTAAAGTGAAGTGGTGCAGAGTCTGAAAATCATATGATTTTTGAAACTGACAGTTAACATGCTATGTTGAATTCTTTATCTGCCTATTTATATATGTTATTCCAGTGGGTACATCTAGTTGAGTAAACATTGCTTTTTATTTACAAAGAGTGAAAATTAACACCTACTGGCCTAGATAATTGAAAGTCTTATTAAATAAAATTTACTTCTTATCAAACCTGAAAAATAGGTTTGATTTCCACTTATAGGTACATTTTTTTAATAAGACTTTTGATGATTTACAGTGGCAGACATTAATTTCAGTGTTTGTAAATAAACAGAGATGTCTACTTAAACATATGTATCCACTAAAATAACATTTATTATAATAAGAAATATTGTCAAATTGAAAAAAATCCATTAACTGCTTATATATATATATATATATATATATATATATATATATATATATATATATATATGTATATGTGTCTTTGATCTGGTTTCATAGCAATTATGTTGACTGACAGTCTAGAATGTACTGCTCTGACCAATTTTAACTTTTCTCTTAATCTGAGTTAATTTGTTTCTTGGTTTATATTTATATGAAAATGTATTTTTGTTTTTCATATTGATTTTTCCTATTCCTATTAAATTAAAATTGCATTTAAAAATTTTCCCGGATCTTAAGTACAGTAAGCAGTTTAGTACTTAACGATGAATAAAATTGATTTTGTTTTTGTGTGTAAAGTATATAAGCCACAAATTAGTAGAGAGTAGGAAAATGAGAATAATAGTCAAAACAAATAAGAATATATGTCCACACAAACCCATGAGTTATTGCAATTTCTCATAATATTAGACTATGGCAAGAGACAATTCTTTTCTGAGAACTTTTAGTGTGGCACAACTGAAGACAGTAGGTAATGACTTTATGAACAGGACATCAATATATAGTCATTTACTAAGCATAGCTTAGATATGGCACAAGGCCAAAAGTATGGAACACCCAGTGAGAATTGAAGTTGTAATTGATCTAGTGAGACAAGCTTGCTAGCCATTACACCATGTCAAAGTGCCCAAGGCCATGAATATATAGAAAAAACAATATTTTATATGCAAACAATTATTCTCTTGATTTATTAAGTAGCTAATGAGTTTAACACTCAATTATAAAATAAACTGATGTGAGCAGCCTTGGTGGTATCTGTCATCAGAATAGATATTTCCCTAAACAGTTATAATGAAGAAATCAAGATGATTAGGGAGAATTTGGAAAAACATAAATGAAGTTTTCCTTTTCTAGAAAGTGAACATGCTACCAAAGAGTAGAAATGTGTTATATACCTTCTCTCTGACCCTGAAAAGGAAAACTAGTAGATGTTACAAAAGCTGTCTTTACTCAAAAACTCCAGCATGTTATGTTGCAAAAGACTGTTTCTATTTTCAAGTACTAAGGCACATTTTGTCTTAATCTTCCTAAAGACAGTGGTTCTGTACAGACTGTGCTTCCTGACTGGCCATTAAGTGTGAAATGACAGCTAGAAGGGGAAGGAAAGTGAACCCAACTCTGGGATCAACAGTGAGAACAGTTGTATAGAAAAAAAAATCAAAGAAATAGATATTGATGACCTTAGAAATATCATCCAAGAAGCAAAGTAACACAAAATTAGATTCACTTGATATCATATAGTGCTTATTGCTATCATATCTGAATTAGAGCTGCTCAAATTTACTTTAGTTAAAAATTTTTTACATGGTCTTGTGGGAGAAGACTTATTCTCCACTCCGCAGCCTTTTTCCTTCAGATGCATTTCTATTACTATTTTCATGGCAAATCTTCAGATGAGATCCATTCTTTAATTCTACCAGTTCAGAACCTTATAGTTAGAACATGCCATGCCATACTCATGAAGTTGAATCACCCTAATTTTCTCTAAATTCCAAATGTCAGAAGAAAGTAAGAGCTTCCTTGAACACTATAATCAAACTTATCAAGCTGAATATTTTATTATAACTGCCCTGGATTTGAATTTCGAAAGCTTTCTTTCATGAATTGGCAGTGAGTTTAACTTATCCATTATATTGAGATTAAAAGGCAACCAATTTTACCTGCCAAGCAAGGTGCAACATACACATTAATTATGTATAAACATATTGCATTCTAGAAATCAATGGATTGTTTTATGGTTTACTTATAGCATGACTTTTGTTAGATAAGATTACTCTTGTTGCATCAACTTTATAATAAACAAAAACTTGATAATAACCTGTGGATAGAGTCATGAATGTTTTATTCTGCATCATTTGTTTGAATAATTCATTAAAATATCTATAAAATCTACTATATAAAAAATGTGAATGTCACTGTGTCACACTTTTTCAACTTTACTCCTAGAGACTGTATCCCAACATATACCATTTTGGAGTCAGGCTGACTCTATGAGCAAATTAAAAACATTCTGTCTCAGATCTGGACCTGCAATCCTGAAATTTTGGATTCCCAAGTTTTCATTATTCTGATTGTTTTTGGCTTTTTTTTAATGACTTTTTGCAACAATTGTTTTGTACCATAACAATTTTTATAACTTGAAAATAAATTTAGGAATAATTGAAATTAATTGTGAAAGCCACCCATGAAATAAAAATAATTGTTTGTATGCAAAGTAAGGACCTACATACATCAAATAGTCTTTAAATTAAGTGGCAGCAGAAGAATTATCATTGAACTTTTAAAAGGTAACCTTAAATATTAATGCAATACTTAAATGCAGCAATCAATTTCGAGTTCTTCTGTAGTTTATTGCTGCCTATTGCATCTACTCCTCTTTACTTATTGTGATGAAGGCCCAATCAAGAGCCCTCCGCAGGACACAAAAAATCAAGGCTACTTTTCTTTATTATCTGTGAATTGCCAGGTCTTGGGTAGTTTCTTGTTGCCCTCTCCACCATTTTGAATTCTATGTGATCATTCTCCTACACCAGTTGCCAGCCAAAGCGAGAAAATACAATTTACCTAATTAATTTATACCTAGGAGGCAAAGAAATGGATGTGTGCCTTTCTTGAAGACATTAGTGTGAAAGTGAATGCAACAGATGAGGCCAGAACATGAACCTAGCTTGTTAATTCTATTTTCCATGCCAACCAGGACCCAAATTTATATCACCTCTTTTTGAACTAGTGTACTTTACAGACACAAATAATA